TAGCAACCGAAACATAGACAGAGAAGAGGATTACCATTTGGTCATTATGTGCGTTCTTACTATGAGCTCATATTATGCTATGCCGTGACCCTGTTTGTGCTATTCTTGTTTTCAAGCCAAGGGATAGTTTACTAGTTTACTATTTTCATACTTGCGAGAAGTTAATCTTTCTACACTACCACTACTGCATCTAAGTGACTGAACTTTATTTTTCTCTGTTTCTAATTTGTGACTATTTTGCCCCTTTGGCAATTCACTAAGAATTTTGGATGTTAAGTTCTTGTGGGGTATCCATGGTGCTATTCCCACTGAGTTCAGTAAGGATTTTCACTGTTGTTCAACTGCCTAAATATGTCTGGATCCTTCAATCTAGAGAGTGGTTGTGCTCACCTGTTTGACACTTTTTCAGTTATTTTTCAGAGCGGCCTACTCCATCAAAGCCATTGCTGCTCTACAATTGTAGACAATTGTGTTTTGCGGTTCGTTCAATATAGCCAGGACCAGCACACAATGCTCAATGGGCCTGTGGGGCAACCACAGAAATGTGTCTTGGAGGTCCCCTGCTGTTACCATTCAGTCCACTCTGAATATGACTGATGTACCTATACAGTCATGGAAAGCCCAAGGGGTGCATAATCCATTGAAAAGGACTATGATAAATACATGTCTTGCCAAATTTCACCCTGCTATATACGGTCTTCAGAAGACCCATCTCACAGTTGACACTCAAGGCTGCATGTAGTACTCCTGTGTGGGCGATGCGTACCACTCCACGCATACCTCTTAGTCGCATGGCTTGTGTGCAAAGCTGCATTGCTCACTAGACTTTCAGGAGATTGACTCCTTTGTAGACCCTGAAAGTCAATTTGTCTTTTTATATTGTAGGTTATATGCTGTCAAGTATATTCTAGTGTGTATATATTTTTCTTCCATCCACTTCCAGGACAGTATTACACCTCTTGTTGTAGTACTTGGCTGATAAGCCTATTGTTCCCTTATTGATCCTAGAAGACTTTAATTGTTATCTTAACCCTGCCCATGCCATTGCCAGAGGTTCTATTCTATCTTGCTTGGCGGGGGTGGGATGGATAAACCTTTGGAGACATACAGTAGATTTCCCCTAGCCAAACAATTCTCCTGTTATTCTAATTCACATGTATCTCTGTCCCGGATACATATCTGTGTTGGTACCCAGTCTATGGCCTCTTTAACAAAGAGATACTGTATTTGTCCTGTTGTGTGTTGGATCACTCTCCCCGGTAATTTGGCTTACCATCCTGTTAATCTCCCCTATAAATATCCTTATAGCCCCTCACAAACATAATCCCTTTTGGCTGCAACTGTTTCCTACCCGGGACCATAATCAACCACATGCAGCTGACCTTTTTGTTGATCATGAGCTCTGCTTGGACCTGGACCCTCAATCATGTTAAGAAACCCTCAGAAGATCTGGAATGTCAGGTTGAAAATGAGATATGAGAGCTTGAATTGGCTTATATTACTAATCCTTCTAACACCAGGAGTGAGGCATGGATGTCAGCCAAGGATGCCCTGGGGTGCCTGACAGTCTCCTCAAGGCAACGAAAAAACACGTTTTTGTAAACTGGTATTTTATAAAGAAGGGAAGAAAACCCTCCCTACACAAAACACTAAAAACATGTACTAAAACTTAGAAAATCCCTACCATTTTGCATCCCTGCAATTCAAAAGATAACAGCATTTGCCAAGGAGGAGGTGTAACAGCAGGGATTATATCCTCTCCTCTCTACCTGCAGGAAACTACATTTCCCATCAACCACAGGGAATTGTAGTGAGTGTGGGCGGGTACACTAGGTCTGTATATGTTGAATGTGTCTGAGAGTCTCGGTCTGCCCACTACTGCAAGTGGGGCTGAATTACATCACTGCTTCCTGGAAAAAGAACTACAGAAGGGATGTGCCAAGACCAGTGGCTGGGGGAATAGGAGGCAGAGCAGCCACCAGTCTTAAAAACAGGAAACGAAAGAGAATTAATGGTTTGATTTGAAAATGAATAGGTTATTTCAGAGCAACTACTGAGTGAACCAGAAGATGGATGACAAATTCAAGGAAGGTAGGATATCAGCAACAAGGACATGTAATAAAGTTTTTCCCAGAGTTCTGCTTTAACCACTCACCACTTCCCTCCATCAATGTTAAGGACCAATATTATTCTTTTGTTAAAACCCAGTAAAAATGTGTAGATCCCAGCTTATATAGACCTATTTCTTCATTGTAAAGTGATGTGAAGATCCTGGCAAGGGTGTTGGCACTTAGACTGAATGAGCTTATTTTGTCCGTTTTCTACCCAGGCTAGGCAGACTTTATGCCACATAAGGTCACTGCTATCAATCTTAAGAGACTTTTCATTAATATGCAAACGCTAGATGATAATATAGGACAGTGGGCCTTGCTATTCTTAGATGCCAATAATGCTTTTGACAGTATTGATTCACAATATATATGAGCCGCATTAACCAAGTTTGGGTTTGGTGAGGTGTTTATTTCCTGGGTCCGTTTACTGTATCACTGTGATCGAGCTGCTATAAAGGAGTCGGGCTGCATATTGGAAGTATTAGATTTAGGGAGAGGAACTACATATGGATACCCGTTATCACCACTCCTTTTGTTATAGCCATTGAGTCATTGACTGCCTTGATCTGTTCCACTCCAAATATGATTGGTTTTCGGTATGGAGAGATATATGAAAAAATTACGTTATATGCGGATGATACGCTACTGCTGATGATACTGCTACTGCTACTAGATGTTCTTTACAGGCGGGCATGGATGAAATGCAGCCAGTGGCCCAATCATGCCCTATTACTATCACCTCTATGTTTAAATATTTGGGGATTCAGATTACCCTATCTCCAGATTTCTGCCAGCTTAACATTGCTCATCTTCTTACCCGATTTACGGATAAAATTAAAATCTGGAATAAACTGAAATTATCAGTTGTAGACAGAACTAACCTTATAAAAATGATTCTTATGCCTCAATTACTTTGTTATCTCCATAATACCCCAATGGTTATACCTCTGAAAATATTTAGGGTTGTGAATTCAGTTTTTCACAAGCTGGTGTAGAATGACTAGAATGTCTACCTAGATATTAAACTAGAATAATTACAATACCCTAAGGATGAAAGAGACCTGGCCCTTCCTATCTCTTGGCTTTACTATGTTTCAGTGCAGCTGCAGCATTTAATAGGTTTACTGACTCCACCCTTGGGTCAAGACATCCTGACTCCAAGCTCCACAACTTAATACTTTTTTGTTTTATGCCTATGGAGTCTGTATCCTCGCAGCTTGAGTCCTTGGCATTTGATAAACCTAACAAAGAATTTCCAACATGTAAGCTTATCTAGACAATCTGGAATAAAGCCAAATACTTTTAACAGGTTAAGGGGTTCACTCAGCATTTTGGCTGGTGGGTGGACTTTGGGAAAATAAATCTTCACCATAATTTCCAGGACAGTGTTTTGTTGCACTTCTCGGACCTACAGGCTACCTTTAACTTGCCCCAATATACATACACTTTTACTATGTGCAACTACGGCATGCAGTCAGGACTCAGGGGAACATGAGGGAGTGGTGTATGTCCCTACCTCGATATTTAATTTAATACAATCGATTAATACATCTAAAGGTTTCATATCTCAATGCTATGCTTTGCTACTGATGGAATTTCTCAAAGACTATGCCTTGAAAATAGTAGTGGGAAAAGGACGAGGACCCAGTAACAGGGATTAATGGGATGAAGCTTTTCAATCTGTCATAGTTAGCTCCCATAATGTCTCCCAAATATTGTCACAACTGTATAATCTATTGCACACCCATTATACTCCATTAAAAATGCAATAGTTTGGGATTCTTGCAGACTGTAGTAGATGAAAAAGGGACCATGGGGACTTGATCCATTTACTGTAGCAGGGCCCCAATCTACACCTTTACTCTAAATGGCTAATATTCCACTTGAAGCTAAATGTTGTGTATCGCGTATTTTGGGAGATGTAGAGTTTCAGGAATTTATTAGAAAGACAGTTTCTGGAGTGCTTTTTCAGGCCTGCAAATTGATATTACAACTCTGGAAGTCGTCCGGTCCTCCTCTCAAAATGAATGGATCAGTAATACTGCTGACATTCTTAGACTGGAACAATATATATACCATTGCAGATGATGTCCAGGTAAATTTGAGAAACTGTAGGCACCTTGGTTAGATACACCAAGGTTGATCCTGCTGTAAACATGGACGGGAGAATCAATTAATTTTTTGCTCTTTTGCGAGCTGAACAGAATAAAATCCAGCCGTATATGGCAGCTGACTTCTACTTAAAGTGGCCCTAAAGTGTGTGTGTGTTAGTACAATCATTTTAGGGGCAACAGAATTAAATTTTTACTAAAGCTCGGTATACACGTACTGAAATCCAGCAGGTACATGTGTATTGCTGTCTGTTCAACAGAAGCTGGTCTAATGAGCAGCTTCTGTTTAACAGTTTTGCCGGAAAACCAGCATTTGATCAGTGCAACCCTTCTGTCAGAATACAAGAGCTCAGCTCAGTGGGAGAGATCCCTACTTCACACATCGTTGTGTTGATGCGGGAATATGTCAATATGTCAGGTTTTTTTTATCGTTAAACCTCTGATTAAACAAAAAAAGTACTGCATGTGTATACCCAACTTAGGACAGAGAATGCAGAGAATGGTACCTTGTAAACAGCTGCTTCCATATAAATGATTAATAAAAACAAATATTAGAAAATGTCAACTCTACACTTCCAGTGACTCGATAATCCATTGCATGTTACACAAAAATGTTTGTGCTAGAAAGTTTATGACTGGCCTTTAACATCTAAGCATATGAAAGGAATGCAGAAGTACATAACATATTTCAACAGTTATTAGCTTGGCATATTTCAACATAATGGCTTTTCATTAGCCACCATTTGCTTTGATCAGAATAGTTCACAGGAGTGCTTACCTCTTCTTAGCTTCTTCATACTGCCAATTAAGTCTCACTCTGTCCACCAGTCTTGATTTATCATCATAGCCATACTGCATGGAATACATATTAATAACATTACTAAGCAAATAAGTTCTAAAACCAAAAGAAAATTACAAGGATTTCAATTGCATAATTAATCTTACATTATTAACAAATTGTAAAAGAAAACACTACCTTGAAATAGTTTTTTTTGAAGCTTTTAAATTATTGTTATAATAAGCAATAAGCTTAATGCCCAACTTTAGGAATTACAACAAAACTACCCTTTCACACATGACAGCATAATCCATTACATGGCAGGGCCAACAGCCATGGAGAGGGTGAACCACTGCAAGAGTAGTTTTGTAGTTCCTGGAGAAGTGTTTTTAAGGAATCACATTTACCTTTCCGGTAGCCCATGTCTATTTTCTATCCATCAGATTCTTCAGCATTCAACACATCCAGGATGCCTGTGTCACCTACCAAATGTAGTTCAACCCTACAGAACACAATGGTCAGGAGTCAGTGGAAAGAGCCTGTGTGGAGTACACAGGCATCCAAAAATCCTAGAAGGGTTGAACGCTGAAGAGTCTGATTTAGGTGGCAGCACTTCAAAAGAGATAAGGCAAAAGACATGAGCCAGCACTGTGATACCTCTTCTATTATGGGTAATTGCTTTGGAGAATTTCTGAAATCAAGGCAGTGTTGCTTTAGCACTATTATCTGCAAGTTGCTTTGTACTGTTTTTAAAATCACTTCAATTTAAAATTCCGGACACTCGAGAAGGTCATCCTACCACTTTCACATACAGAAGGTCACAGGCCAGGCCATCTCTGTTTTTTTACAAAAGTTATACTTCCACAGCACATTGCTTTATTACTGTCACATGAAATGATCTTTGGCAACTATGATACATAAATTACTATACTGTAGATAGTGTGATCACATGGTTTACAAATCACACAGAAAACTAAGACTGAAAAAATGCATCTGGGGCTAATGCAAAAATGGGGTAGTAGGTAAAAAAATGTTTTTCAAAGATTAAAGGAGGCTAGTGGCAATCAGGGAAAAGTAATCATGCATGTCTGCAATTAACCTTTTGCTGACCACAGGTAGTTGGTCTCATCCTGTACAATACATTTTTACAATTTGTTTGAATAATGTGTGCCAACAATAAAAACCTGTTGTCTCTAGTCTAGTGTTAAAAGACTAATCTTGTATTCATATTCACACAAATGTATAATGTATCTTTGAATTCAAACACCTAATATTAACACAGACCTGGCTGTGATCAAAGTTGTCATGAAAAAGAATACACAGTCCCATGGGAATGATTTAACTTTAAAATGATGTGAGGAAATAAGGATTAGATATTAGACCCTCCAGCATGACCTCTTCACCTGGTACAAAATGCTCTGCTTCTAGACTTTATACTTTCTTCTGGTTACCTGCACTGAATTAATGAGTGAAAACTGAATAGGAAAAAGACATCCATCCTAAAATGGAATGAAAAAAAGAGTTCAGGATGAACATATCCTATTTCCCACACACACTCTAATAGTATATGCGTATCTTACGTCTGAATGGACAGGATACTTCAGCATACATTCAGGGAAGTTTTTCAAACCAGAACCACAATGTAGACTCAGGCTACACAGGCTATAATTCCTTTGCTACTGGGAGATTTAACACTTTTTTGGTAGCCACCTCATTTGTAGCAAGCTGCTGTCAATGTGATATAATAAAATACCTGTCACTAAGCAATTAAAACTCTTAAAAATTAAAAACTGTCAGTATAACCCTAGCTCAACCAGCAAGCATTCATTGACCATACATGTTCAGGAATCCGCTGAAACAGCTGCAGCTAATCTCTCAGTGACACTGCAGCAACCTGTTATAGCGGTCAGTGAAGTTGGAGGATTTTTATGGCATCTGCTGTGATCAGATTGGGAACCTAGGTATCAAACTGATTGTGTGTCCTGCACACAAGTGGGTCATTGCAGGGTGCAATATTTACAGCATGTAGGTTTTGTAGGTGCCTATTTCTTCTTGGCTTTCAAGTTGATATCAATAATGATAATATCACCAGCCCCAAAACTAACCTTCCAAAGGAGGACTAAGTACCACAGCACACAAATTGGTGCTTTTGTATTCATAAAGCAATGCTGTAGGAACCCACAGTAAGCAAATGCCAAATTCAATATAATTTGATGCTGAAACACCTCTAGATCAATAATGCAATACAGGGTCTCTCCATACACTGTGGAATAAGGCAAGGGAGTTATTGAGTTATTGCTGTTCTTAAAGTTGGGAGTAGCATGCTATGAGTACACAATATTTCTGGGGTTCCGTAGGTACCTTGCAGAATCAGTTTGGCAAAGCAAAGGCACTACTGGTACATAGAGTTCATTAAAATTGTAGTATGAGGGACTTGGGGATACTGAAAAGTTTGCTTTACTTAAAAGACAACTTCGCCTTTTCTGCTTCTCTCTCCCCTGTGGTGAAACACCCAGAGGGAAAATCTTAATTATAATTGTGCAGCGCTAACCTATAAATAAGTAAACAAATAAATGCAGCACTATGTTTAATATAAATTAAACAATCTAATAAATTGTATGTATGGTATAATTATTATAAATATGCGCTGTGAAGTGCTATTGCCATTAATGTGAACAACGTCTAGGTATTGACGTTTAAAGTGCACAAGTGACAAAGATGTAATATAAAGATTCCAAGTTCATTAAAATATCATCAGGTGAATTCTGTGATTCCAGTAGCTGTAAATGAATGTATATTGCACTAACCAGAAAACGCAATATAATGCGCATTTGAGTAAATCAGACCACTCCTGGTCATCTGGATCTGGAAACGTTACTCAGGGGATCATCTGGCAAACCTCAGCAATACAGGTAATAAACAATGTCACTCTCCAGGCTCCAGGAATTAACATCCATCCAGCAGGGGGACACGCTCATGAGGGTAAGTCAAGAATAACAGCAATCCACGTTGGGGAGGGGGGGGGGGGCTCGTAATAAACAAGCCAGAGAAGAAACCTCCAATTGTGCAGTATTTTATTAAAGGTATGGATAAAATACACATGAAATGAATGCACTCACATCTGGTAAAAAACAAGATCAAAGATGGTCGCCGGCCTTCCATGTGGCCTGAGCGGCGTGACATCACCAGCTGGCCTCCTCCCTAACGCGTTTTATGCCCAAGCACGTTATCAAAGGGCTCTGTCTTGCTGAGGTTTGCCAGCTGATCCCCTGAGTTACCTTTCCAGATCCAGATGACAAGGAGTGATCTGATTTGCTCAAATGAGCATTATATTGCGCTTTCTGGTTAGTGCAATATACATTCATCAAAGGGCTTTGATATCAAAGCCCTTTGATGAATGTATATTGCACTAACCAGAAAGCGTTTTTTCACATTTATTTTATTTATTATAGGTTAAGAGTTTATTTATAGGTTAGCGCTGCACCATTATATTTAAGATTTTCTATTGTCACATGGTATATGATTAGGTGTTAGCAGCTCCCCACGGTCAGGAGGTATTTAAGTTAGGAGCGCAGGAGGATCATCCCACAACTGTTTATACCCAGAGGGAAAAACTTTCAGCCTCACTTCAGGGATCTACATTGTGTGGCCCTGCCAGGAGTAAAGCAGCTTTGCATGAAAGGTGTTCCATTTGGGTCCTGTATCTAGTGCAGGCTGTGGTATTGTTCCTGCCTATGGCTGGGTCTGTTTGCCTCTGGATAGCTGAGTCTTCCATAAGTACAGAGATTGAAATCAATGATGCAGTGGCATGCAGGGGCGGTAGGCACAGGGCCCAGCAGGGACAATTTTCAAGCAATAGCTGTGCATCACCGGGCTGGGCTACACACTGAAGATCTACAGAGCGAGGCTGAATGTAGATATTTCTCTCAATGGGTGCACTGCAGGAGGGGTGAAAAGAAACTACAAAGGACTTCACTAAAAGTAAAGTTATTCTATAACACTTCTTCTAAATACTGAAGTCTTTGGTACCAGGTGAAAAGTATCATGTTGGAAAATCTAACATAAAATAACTCTGTTGGTTAAACAAATGTATTAAAAAATCCGTACCTGCAAGAAATCAAACAGATACTTACTTTCCTTTTGCCTGTGCCGATGAACATTACTCTGATGCAATGTAATTCCCAGCCGAAGTTCCTTATGAAACTGACACTTCTAAAACCTAAAGTCTAGTAAAAACAATTTTTGCGGTATGCATAATAATAATCCTGCCCTCAAAGATGCTGGATAATTTCCACAGTGGTGATCTCACTGTGCTGGGGGATGAGGGGCTGTGAAGGACTGCTCCGATCACTTTACTTTACGTTACTTTAGGTCAGGGGACAAGATACAGTATGTGTACTTTAGGTAAAGTGCATTTATCCTTGTGCTTCTGACAACAAGCAAAATGTTTTGTTGAACATTAAATTAATACTCAAAGCAAATCTTACATCTTTATTTACCTACCTACCTACCTATCTATCTATCTATCTATCTATCTATCTATCTATCTATCTATCTATCTATCTATCTTATCTATCTATCTAACTCATCACATTATGAAACTCATATCACTACCAGTAATATTGTCATTCACCAAAGAATACAATACCTCTTCAACGTTATCCGTTTGTGAGCAGGCATCACAGAATTGCTGTGGTAAACAGGGGTCACTGTGCAAGCTTGAACTGTGGATGTTTTGCATGGAATCTGTGATAAAACAGCTGTTTCTGAAACCATCGGTCAGCTTGGCCAGGCTCTATGGATAAAAAATGCATGTTACACCACCCCTCAACTAAATATACTTCACAACAATTAACCAATTTGCTTTACTACTATTTTAGATGTTGAGTCAATGCAAAAAAGTAGCAGCATTGGAGTCCTGTTGAATAGTGGCTCTTGGTGGCCAAACTATTCTACCCAGTACTAAATCAGTACTGTAGTGATCAAAGGTGTTGTGAAAGGTTTGAGTTGGAGGCACAGAAGCAGCCATTCAATACCTAGTGTCTACTAGCAGCACATCTCCAATAAAAACCATATAATACAAGAGATGCGGAGACCCATCAGAGTCACTGTCAGAGTAGCATCATTTATGATTTTCCTTTTTACAAACCTGTGCTTATGAATGGGTGGGGAGTGGAAAATCCTTACAGTGGGCACTCCTTCAATGAAATATTGCACAAATCAGGAAGAAAAATTGCTGCAGCATTTGAGTTAGTCCACCTATAAATATGTCAGGTACAGATACATTTGGTTGGTTAAGACACCCACTGATCTTTATATTGTTTGGGGACTGCAGAGGTGAGATAACTTTCACACAGCTCCCACCTCTGTTCAAGTTCATCTATGACTTTCGAATATTAAAGGAGAGTGGGATTCCTTCATACAGTGCCTTGAAACATTATTCATACCCCTTGAAATTTTCCACATTTTGTCATGTTACAACTAAAAACATAAATGTATTTTTATGGGATTTTATTTGATAGACCAACACAAAGTGGCACATCATTGCGAGGTGGAAGGAAAATGATAAATGGTTTTCAAGTTTTTACAAATAAATATCTGAAAAGTGTGGCGTGCATTTGTATTCAGTCCCCTTTACTCTGATACCCCTAACTAAAATCTAGTGGAACCAATTGCCTTCATAAGTCACCTAATTAGTAAATAGAGTCCACCTGTGTATAATTTAATCTCAGTATAAATACAGCTATTCTGTGAAGCCCTCAGAGGTTTGTTAGAGAACATTAGTGAACAAACAGTGTCATGAAGGCCAAGGAACACACCAGACAGGTCAGGGATAAAGTTATGGAGAAGTTTAAAGCAGGGTTAGGTTATACAAAAATATCCCAAGCTTTGAACATGTCACAGAGCAATCCATCATCTGACAATGGAAACAGTATGGCACAACTGCAAACCTACCAAGACACTGTCGTCCACCTAAACTGACAGGCCAGGCAAGGAGAGCATTAATCAGAAGCAAAGAGGCCCATGGTAACTCTGGAGGAGCAGCAGAGATCCACAGCTCAGGTGGGAGAATCTGTCCACAGGACAACCATTATTCGTACACTCCACAAATCTGGCCTTTATGGAAGAGTGGCAAGAAGAAAGCCATTGTTGCAAGAAAATTATAAGAAGTACCAATTGCAGTTTGTGAGAAGCCATGTGGGGAACACAGCAAACATGTGGAAGAAGGTGCTGTGGTCAGATGAGACCAAAATTGAACTTTTTGGCCTTAAAGCAAAATGCTATGTGTGGTGGAAAACTAACACTGCACATCACCCTGAACACACCATCCCCACTGTGAAACATGGTGGTGGCAGCAACATGTTGTGGGGATGCTTTTTTGCAGCAGGGACAGGTTAGCTAGTCAGAGTTGATGGAAAGGTGGATGGAGCTAAATACAGGGCAATTTTAGAAGAAAACGTGTTAGTCTGCAAAAGACTTGAGACTTGGGCAGAGGTTCACCTTCTAGCAGGAAAACAACCCTAAACATACAGCCAGATCTACGATGGAATGGTTTAGATCAAAGCATATTCATGTGTTAGAATGGCCCAGTCAAAGTCCGAGCCTAAATCCAAATGAGAATCTGTGGCAAGACCTGAAAATTGCAGTTCACAGACACTCTCCTTCCAATCTGACAGAGCTTGAGCTATTTTGCAAAAATTGCACTCTCTAGATGTGCAATGCTGGTAGAGACATCCCCAAAAAGACTTGCAGCTGTAATTGCAGTGAAAGGTGGTTCTACAAAGCATTGATTCAGGGGGGCTGAATACAAATGCACGCCACACATTTCACATATTTATTTGTAAAAAAAATTGAAAATTTATCATTTTCCTTCCACGTCACAATTATGTACCACTTTGTGTTTGTCTAGCACATAAAATACAAATAAAATATATTTACGTTTTTGGTTGTGACAAAATGTGGAAAATTGTAATTATCACCGAAGATCTTCAGCTATAGATCCCAATCTGCAGAGGTGTGCTGTGGCCTTATTTAAAATTGAACTCCAGTTAAGAAATATCTCAGTAATAGTGTGTCAACTCTCCCCCTGAGTAATTGATTTCCAAAACTAAATGTCCTCAGTCTTCCAGGTTCACTTCCTCTGAGCCCAGGTTGGCATGCACCCTCCCCTTTGGGTAGCATCATCATGCAGCCTGAGCTCAGAGAATTACTGCACTGAATGGCATTCACACATTACTACTAGTCCCACTCAGTGCAGCAGTAAGAACCATTTGCAATAAAAAAAAAGAAAGGACTTGTGATGTTATCAATCGAGCCAGAAGAGCCTTTGGAAAAAAAGGTGATTTATATTTACAGTATAAATATATAAACAGCAGATGTTTTAGGTATTTTAAATACCAGCAGGGATGTGGTGTATTTTCTTTTCGACTTCAGCCTAAACTTTACAGAATCTAACAAAAATTGAAATATTACTTTTGAGTGAAATGACACTAGAAAATATGCATGAAGATAATGGTAATGTACATCCAGCTTTAAGAAATTTGAAATTATAACAAACTTCACCTTAATATATTCTTGAAAAAGATGTTTTCATTACAGTAAAAATCTACAGATTCAACTGTACACTTATAAAATTCAAAACTTCTAAACAATACATAAAAAAACAACTTTTTCCAAAATAAAAGATCAAATTTCTTTTGTAGTAGAAGTGTGCCAAGAAGCCGCTGTCAAAAATATTTACTTTCACTAACGTTTTATAAGAGGAATATTGGTCTCTTGATAGAAAAAGATTCCCATATTCCAATTCAGAATGCAGGAGAATTATGAAATGGAGTATTAGTTTCACAGCAGTATAATGTGGACATACAGTTGCAAGAAAAAGTATGTGAACCCCTTGGGATTACGTGGAGTTTTGCATGAATTGGGCATAAAATGTGCTCTAACCTAATATGGGCAAATATAGTCATGTAACCATACTAGGTCAAGGATGTCGCAAGCATCCCTGCCCCTTAGTGTACATTCAACTGTGGGGCAAGGGATTTACAGGCTGCAGCTGACTGGCCCAAGATTGACAACTGCCTTCCCATTCAAACCCACTCAATTTCAGACTGAACCCAAGCTCATCACTAGTGGCTGAATGGTTAGCACTTCTGCCTGGCAGTACTAGAGTCATTGGTTCGAATCCCAGCCAGCGCACGTCCTGCTAGTAGGTTAATTGGCTCCTGTCTAAATTGACCCGAGTATGCGTATGTATGAATGTGAGTTAGGGACCTTAGATTGTATGCCACTTGAGGGTTAGGGACTGATGTGAATGTACAATATATGTAAATTGCTGTGTAAATTGACGGTGCTATATAAGTACCTGAAATAAATAAAATAATACTAAGCAACATAATTACTACTTCCCAGAGGTCACCTCATACTCACTGCACTGGATAGAGGTGATGATGCTCATTCACTGTACAGTAAGAAGGCTGGAAATGTGAGATGGGAAGCTGCACTACTCAACCATGAACAGGAGTTGCTTAATCAGGAATTATGTGTGTCACCTGTCTGGCTGCATGTGGAAAATGTGTATGGATACTCTGTGTTGGAGCTGTGTTTGGCAGAACTAGCAGCAGAAGATGAGTTGCTTTTCAGCTAAAGCTGTTTTTAAGGTTTGTGTAACGTGCATGTAAACCCTAACATGAAGCTTATTTTATTTCATTTTATTTGGTCCTTTTTGGTCTTTTAAATACACCATTTAAAGTGGTTGTGAAGGCTGAAGGTTTTTTACCTTCATGCATTCTATGCATGAAGGTAAAAAAAAAAAACCCTTCAGTGTGCAGCCCCCCCTAATACTTACCTGAGCCTGATCTCAATCCAGCGATGTGTAGGAGAGCAGTGGCTCTCCTACGTCTCTCCCTCCGCATTGGCTGAGACACAGCAGTGGGAATCATTGGCTACCACTGCTGTCAATCACAGCCAGTGAGGAGGAAGCAGGGGACAGGGCCGAGCCACACTCTGTGTGCCCTATAGACACACAGAGGAAGCTTGGGAGCGAGCATGCACAAGGGCCCCTCAGAACTTCAGAGTTCCTGTGTTATTTTAACCACTTCCCGACCGGCCGTTGCATATAAACGGCCGGACGGTGGCAGTGCAGGGTCGGGTGGCCGTCTGTAAACGGCCTCCCTGCACCCTGCTTGTGCGCGCTCCCTGGGAGCGCGCAGCACTGCGATCCGGTGCCCGCTGTGTCCTCCGGACACAGTGAAACACCGATCGTCGGACGGGACCTCTGTACGAGGTCCCGATCATGTGATCACTGATTGGCCAATCAGTGATCACATGCAAAGTAGTAAGCAAGATGTCACTTGTGACATCATTGCTTACTATGTGTGAAATCTGTGAATGATCACAGAGGTCACATGGTACAAGCCTATTCACAACACTTTAATCCTACCATTAGACAAGTGAACCCTTATCTGGCTAGTTTGGGCAACCAAACCTGTTCATCCTTCAGACACTTTACTAAACAAGTATGACCCATTAACACACCAAAAGGATAAAGAGGGGAGAAAAAAAAAAAAGGAGAGAAGAAACACACAACCACACATTAACACACTATGCAATATTAAATAAAAGAAAAAAAAATAGAAAATAAGACAAAAATTTTGGTTGATTGGTCACAGCTTGTCACATGGTACAAGCCTATTCACAACAGGCTTGTACCATGTGGCAAGCTGTGACCAATCACAGCTCACTCAGTACTTCTCAATGAGTGCAAGAATGCACACAGAGAGAAAGAGAAATGATTGC